GTGTGTCTGTGTGTGTGTGCGTGTGTGCGTGCGTGTGTGTATTCCTTAATATGGCAATATTCCCAGATAATGTAATTAACATTATGGAACTCAAACATTTAACAAATTTCCTTCTGAACCTATTGCAGCCACCCCACATGCTTTGAAGTTCCAGACAAATACGACTAAAAAGTGCATTTTTATTCAGAGAAATAATATTTTTCTGTGTGATTTCATAGCTTAACATATCATTGGTACTAAATAAATAAGGTTAGGCTCTCTAAATATTACGATTGACTCCTATTCTGTGAAAATCCGATCATTCGGAGGATCAAATTTTATCCTGGAAGTTGACTATTTTATTTAGTACACCAATTATATTCATTACAATTTTTTATTAACAATAACAGTCACACGCATAATAATCATATTTTTTTTGCAATTAATTATAAAACTGTTCAGCAGTCTTGAAAATTTCATGACCGATTTTGAACGAGCAATTCCATCTTTTCATCACAGAGGGAATACATAAATATTTTCTCTACTGTAAGGCTTTGTTTAACTGTCTTTAGTCTTTTATTTTTTTCAATAGGCTTCTGTCAAAGCATTTTGTAAATATCACTAGAGATGTGTCTTTTGATATCTTTGGTGACATTAAGTAGTGATATTTAGAGTTCGGAACATTCAATTCAATTTTTTTTCCGATATCCCACTGGTTTTTTTCGGGGTTTCTATATGTTCATTATATATATATATATATATTACCAAAAATATCAATATTATATGCAAACATTTTCATTACTATATCAAAAATAACCCCTCTGAAGCATTTCACTGTATTTTTTGACGAATGGATTAATCTCCTTTTTACAAACCTCACTTGCAGAGTAATTTATATTATTGCCACCATATTCAGGAGGTAGAATTTCTTTAGGTATGTATTCATGTAATTGGTTCATATTGTTCCCATGGAAGTGGATCTATAAATAAATAAAAGAATTTAGACGGACGTTAATATAGCTTATTTTTATAATAAAATATGCCATTACTTTCAATATACTGAAAAGTATAAGTAAAATAAATAAAAAATCTTTAGGAATAAGAGATTTAAATAAACTACCAAAACTATAGAAGAAGCTTTGAATCACAAATTTGAATGTTTCGTCCGAAATTTGAAAAGCAATCCCTAGCCCAATGATTGAATCACAATCTAAGCCAACTTTTGTTTTTAAGAATAGTTTTTTCATAAAATAAAACTAAGAAATCAATTGCAATTAATCAATTGCAATTGTTATTTTTTGCTGGACCTTAAAAACTCCACCGTACGATTATCATGCATCTACAGCAACAATATACTTATGCATCCAGATTGAAGTATTCATATGTGGAGGCGGTTAAATCAATAAAAATGAAGTTTATTTTTCCTAGAATAAAATAAGAAACAATAAGAAAAATTAATTTTTATTTTTTGAAAATCTCGAGTCTTTTTGAAATTAGGATTAGATAAAACCGATTTATTAGTGTTTCTCTACAATAATGTTCATATAGTGTCTTTACACAGGGAAAAACATTAAACATTACTATTTTGTGTACTAGCTAGAGTTGGAATGCGGTAGAATAGAATATGAAGGTTTACCGTTTGTACAGTAGTGCTATATAGGCTATTTGTAGTGCCTCGATGTGCTCAATGCGAAAATGAAAAGGAAAGAGAATTGTTTTAAAAGTTTGTACTTATTATAAATATGGATACTGGGAGTTCATCCTTTCACCCGAGCTGACCTGAACGCGTTTTTTTTTTATTTGAACGGGAAGTCAAAAGGGGGAAAGATAATAATCTTTGGAATGTAGGCTAGGAGCTATTAATTTGTCTAATTTTTTTTCGCTGAATCAAAAATAAATTCAAAAGATGCAATGTTTTTTTTCTTGATCTAGATAGAAATATTACCAAATAAAAAATAAAAAATTCAAAATAAAAAATAATATTTTTAAAAACCACGTTTTTGTAGGGGAGAATAACAATTAAAAAAAAATTTGAAAAACGAAAAACGTGGGGCGCATGAAATACATAACAGTAATGTTATATTAGTGCGTGTATGTGTGCTCTTGAGAATATGTGTATGTATATCTGTAATTGTAATTGTATCTGAATGTTGATGTGGAATATGTTTGTGTATATGTGGCTGTGCATGTGTATGAGTTAGAAAATGTGTATATGTACTGTTATGTATTTCATGCGCCCAACGTTTTTCGTTTTTCAAATTTTTTTTAATTATTATTCTCCACTACAAAAACGTGGTTTTTAAAAATATTATTTTTTATTTTGAATTTTTTTATTTTAAATTATAATTTTTTTAATTTTTATTTTATATTTTTTAAAAATTATTACTTTTCAATTATTATTCTTCACTACAAAAAACGTGGTTTTTAAAAATATATATTTTTATTTAGATTATTTTTCTTAGTCAAGAGTAGTCAAGACTACTACAAGACCACTACTAAAATAATAGAACTTTCATTTTAAATTAGGGATACAAAAATCTTTATAGAAAAACAATACCTTTACGACTTTCATTAGTTTTATGCTGATGACTACCAAAACGATCTGGAAATGAATGAGGAAAAACTGGACCACGTGATTTTTCAGCCAATAAAAATACTCCGACAATGAAAATCTTTTCACCTGACATGTAATGCTAATTTGAAACAATGGAATCGACAACAAAAGACAATCTCGAAAATAATATATTTTTTCAAATTTTAATTTTATTTTACTTTGTATGTCTTTTTTCTCTTCATTTTCATGCATTGTCATCCAATTCTGAACTATGTGCCAAATTTGAAGTTTGTAGCCAGTCGGGAAGTTAATTTAAAATCGATTACAAAATTCCACCCGGAAAGAAATACACGAAGGCAAGTTTATATAAACGTGGTAAAAATTGTACTTTTGTACATTACCTATAGAAAAATATGCCATAGGTTTGCCATAATAAATTACCATAGGGTTTTTATATGGCGTTTTGCATATAATAAATTTTGCCACGTCCTTTGCCATAAACGCATGTAAATTTTTGCCATAAGTATACATAGGAAATAATGGAAATTTTTAAAGTAGAAATGCTGTTTTTCCGTCGAAAATAAATTTAAACAACTATCAATTTCTATTAGGAGGACAAACTTTATTAAAAAGGTAATATTGTTTTCCATTGATTAGCTTAATTAATGCAAAATTGAAACGGATCGTCGGAGTTCCAATAAAACACGCCAGCTTCCTTCACCAACCATGTTCATTCTCCCATATGAATGACACATATGTCTGTATGAGACTGTATTTCTATTAGTTTGTTATATGCTTATAGTACTTCCCTTTAATCGTACCATTAGGCTATGGTGTCCTACCATATAACACCATACAATTTCTATGGTTACCATGGGCCTATGATGTCATACCATAGGAATATCATACAAATTTTTATGGTAACCATATGGGCGTATGGTGTCTTGAAATATAAATGCCCCACAAATTTCTATGGCTACTATAGGCTTAAGGTATCTTGCCATATAAGTTTCAATGGTTGCTGCAGGTTACCATATAGGTCTATGGCAAATTTTCCTTACAAAATAGCTGGCAAAATAGCTAGAATTGGCTTGCCATAGGAATATCATACAAATTTTTATGGTAACCATGGGCGTATGGTGTCTTGAAATATAAATACCCCACAAATTTCTATGGCTACTATAGGCCTTAGGTATCTTGCCATGTAAGTTTCAATGGTTGCTGTAGGTTACCATATAGGTCTATGGCAAATTTTCCTTACAAAATAGTTTTTATCTTCTGACTCTTTTAAGTAAATTCAAGATCAGGGAAGAACCTCAACTCAGGAGAGGCGACAAACTTCAGGTATTCGGTCCAAACTGAGATATTTAAAATTATCCAGCAAATATAACGTATAAAGTATAAAAGTGATAGTCAACGAAAAATTTTATATAATTATAAATAAATTAATTGTTTCACTGATACTCAATTTGTAGTAAATTTAAAGAAGCAGTGATTTTATAAATAGTATATTCAACGTCATTTGGCAGAAAATATATTGAAATTACATACCTGCATTATTTCAGACCTTAGTTTAAATTTAAAACCAGAAAATTAAATGGTATTGAAGGTTTCAGTACAGCTTTTCTTAATTAAAAACTAGGCTTTTATTACACTACTATATATTAGTTCATTCATTAGCAATATCCCTAAATATACTTACATAATACGCCAACAGTTTGCTTTAAATACGATACTACTGCTTGGAAAATTATGAAGCAAGCATAATTTAGAAGAAAACAAATTCAAGTTCCTCAAAATATAGCTTACATAAAAAAGAATTAAAGCCTTACCCTAGTCATTATTTTTTCAGACAAGAAGATCTTGAAAATGTTGAAAACATATCTTAAGATAGGTGATTCATTGACTATATGAATAGCATTGAATCGAATGGGCATAGTATTCTATAAGTAAAAATGCACATTTTCTTACAAGTAATGAAAGCTTTTAAAATGACATGAGATAACTGAATACTTCTTCAAGTTAGAATACGAGGTCATTTAAAAAATTTAGAATTACACGTTTTTTGATTCATCGCCAACTTAACGAGACAAACTTTTTCCTACTTCAACTTGATGTAGGACTCTTTATTTTGTAAATTTGATTTATTTTCTATTCCACTATATGAAAATGATTCAAAAGTTCATGTAAAACCCCACTTGTATAGGTTGGCAAAATTACCTTAAAAACTTTAGTTCTTTATTTTCAACCATTCTATAAAATATTTTGTAAAAAGCGTTGTAGTTGGCATCCCTGCATTCTTACTCTCACAAAGTTCAGATCGACTGAAATGAGAGTCGGAAATTAATAGCTTTTTATAGCTTTAATACTGCCAGCAATTTTGAAATCAGTAGAATTAGATTTATACTTGTTTCTCAGTATCAGCCGTGGTTAAATCTCTGTTTCATAGGATCTGATTTGACTCATAGAGGAAAAATATGACCCAGTGGGTTAGTTTCTTTCTATAAGGTTGCAACATATATATGAGAATACTTTTTTAATTATAATGATATTAAAAAGGAAATCAGTTTTAAACTTCTTATGCTTATTTTATGTAGAATGATTTCGAAAGTGATGATATGAAAGCTAGATAGAAGTTAATTTTCAACACTCTTTTCGGTCTATACAAACTTTGCATGGGCAAAAATGCTATACGTTTAAAAAGCTTCAAACATTGTTTTTAAAATTGTGACAGCAATTTCACCATTTAAAATCTTTTCTGACACTTGATGCTAATAAAAGAAATGTTTACATGAAGTTAGAAGAGAAGTATTCTGATTAATTTAATCAAACTCTGTATATATATTTTGATCTGAAATTAGGTGCCTGAAATATTTTTAATATAAAGTAGTAGTCAACAGTAGAAAATATCTGATTAGTTTAATCATATATGTTTTAGCACTTTTTTATAAAATGCTACGTCAAAACAAATTGTTGTATATTTGTAATTTGTATTTCAGTATGAAAGATTAACAATATGTAAATTGAGAGATAGCTAAAACATGGTTTCCGTGTTTTTATATAAATAAAACTGCATATTTCTATACCTTAAAATAATTTTTTTTCCGGATTTATCTTGATTACTGATCTATATCGAGAAAGACGAAGAAAAATTCAGTTTAAATAAATAATAATAGTAAATAAACACATAAATAGGAAGGAAAATAATGTTTTGTAACTATATAAATTATTTTTTAAAATAATATATATTATTTTTAAGATTTGGAGAAAGAATAGTTTAAAATTAACGAGTAGTCCCTATCAGAATATTAGTAGTGAGGATATTTTAAAGTAGCCCGATTCGTAATTATGTCCTTATCTGGTAATTATGATACGGAAACGATTGATTTCTTTGTTTCATTCTAAATATTATGAAAGAAATATTGACAAGTAAAGTAGCTATGTCACTGATGTCCTTCAACTGTGAAAGATAGTAGGTAAGAAGGAACTTTTTTTAAATCGCCCTGGAGCTGCACAATGGCCATTGGTGACCGTTTGGGACTCATCCCTGAAGATTATCCGAAAGACATTCAATCAAATTTTTGATCCCCCGCAGAGAGGATTTCATCTGTAAAGCCCCTTTCTCAATTTAGACATAGATCTTAAATGGAAGGAAATTTTCTCCAAATCCTTGTACCCATGGTACTGCTCAGCGACCAACCACAGGATTTTCGATTCCACAGATTTTACGAGCACTCGGTGGGTCTTAGCTGAGTCGAGGATCGAACCCTGGTCCCTCCGGATAGGAATATGACTCTCTAACTACTGGGGGGGAGGTACCACCCTCCCAGTGGTTTAACATGTACGAGATGAGCTCGTAGGTGAAGAAAGGGTTTCTTCTTTCTTCAAAAGGATATTGGTTTTACTTTTTGGCTCACGATATAGTCAGTATTTATCTATTATGCGCACTATTCGGTATTCATTGAGAATAGGTATTTTTCCGTATTTATCTAGTGTCGGTATTTATCGAGTAACGGTATTTTCGTTCTTATCTTTTGCTTATTTTTATGATATTTAGAATATAAGGTGAGAATATTAGTTTACTATCACTACCATGATAAGTCAAAAATATCGATATTATAGATTTTAGAACATTTTTTACCGAGAAAAAACGTGTCTATAACCCCCTAGTTACGCTGCGTATTTTTGAGTACAACATTATATGTCTCACACTGAACCCACGAATAAAAGATGAATAGGGTACAAACTGTTTAAAACGGTGAATCTCGTGATCCATCAGATAAATAAAATAAAAATAGACGCTCTAAAAACAATTATGTGTAGATTTTTTTCTTTCTTTTTGAAAGAAATAACGAAATAATTTTGTTCTATGTATTTTAATCTCATCATATTAAGATGATAAAAATAGATATTTTGAAGTAGAATGAATCGATTTTTTTGGAAAAATTACTGAAGCATCTTTAATTTTATTTTCCATCTAATTGGTCTCAAATTACCACCATTTTACCCACCTTTGTACCCTTCTAAATCTCTTTTTTTGGTTATAGCACCATCTGTGTGCCAAAATGCTTAAACCTGTAACTCAAATAGAGTTACATTTTTCTCTGGAATCCGAATCTGAAATGGAATCATACTTCAGATTTCTTGTATTAAAGATTTTAAGGTTGTTTCCTCCCTGATCAAGTTTTGTATCATTATATAGCTTTTCAAAAATATTGAATATATCCAATTTTATTTTTCGATTCGACGTATGATATTTCGAGACATTTGAAAATTGCTAAGCATTTTTTTTCTCTTTTACTCAATGTATGTTTATACGCGATGATTATGGCACGCGCTCTTTATAGAGAGATGATCCTACTTACTCTAATTATTCTTGAGATCAACCTTATGTATCTCACACTGATCACACGTAGATGACTCAGCTTATATTCACCACCATATACAACGTGAACTCCGCAAACTTGAGTAGCTGGATCTTCTAAAAGAGATAGCAACAGAGCTGTCAAAGATAAGACAGCTAGCTGGATTGGAATTTGATCAGGATCCCAATTGGCTGCAGAGAGGACACGTGAAGTTACAATGAGCACATAAATATGCAAACTGTTATGAAATGTCATAAAAAAAAGTTTTGCATTGTACTTTAACAACAAAATACTGAATTCTACGAAATACTACATGTACTTTCTTTGAGTGCGGAAATGAGACCAGGGAGGATCTCCAGAGATTACGTTTGTTTTAAGCATGGTAACCCTTTATAATCTTATTATGTTTTCTTCCATATTCAGTTATATTTAAATATGTATGGTAAACTAATTTTTATCTGTGATTTGCATGACCATAAGCTAATTACTTCATGAATTACAATAAAAAATAATAATAATATCAATGTGAGGGCTTTGTTCAGATAAATGTGACTGACAGTAAATTTTAGAGTGTGATATTGAGAAAAGAAGGGAACTTTAAGGGACTATTTTATTTGGTGCATTCGTCACTTCTGATCAAATTTATTTAGATTTATAATTTCAGTCATTCTTGAGTTCAAGTTGATGGCTGATTCCTTACATTGGTGAAATTTTTGAAATGCATCCTACCTTCCTTTAAAAAAAACAGGTCTTGAAAATTAAATCAAACTTTGCTAATAATCTAAATAAGTTCTAAAAATAAATACTAAAAATATTTTAACTCCACACAATTGGAATGAAGGGACTTATAGAGGGTTAAACATCGGAAAATTTCTAGATGACAATAATTGCTTCCACTTACCAGCTCTCATGAAAATGACGACACCCCCATCCTTATGTCTATAGGGAAAAGCACCTCCAACATTTGTCCCACAAACAGTATTTGCTATACTTGTGTCAAGGAGCATAGGATATATATCAGGATTATCCTTAAACATTGCATATAAATTGCGAACGAGTTCCATAGCTCTTTCGGGATCAAATTTTCTTGCTCGTAGGAACTGCAACAAGTGAGAGTCATCAGTCCAAATAGCCAGGTTTCTTTCTTCTGCAATATGACATTTTTGCAAAATGCAATAAAGCTAGAAATTATATTATGCATCGTTAAAAAAATCACGAGACATTAAATTGAAAATCAGCCAGAATAATATCCATTTATCATTTCAGCTGTTGCACCAGAAGTAAGTTGGAGTTGGCTCTCTAACTCAGTTTTAAATTATGGAAGATTATAGAAGAATCGAGCAATTTCTACTGTTTTTGAAATTTATGGGTTTTTTTTAATGATGAACATATGTTCACTGTACATTTCTTTAGCATTGTTAAAGCAACTTTGGAAATAAGCTTTCTACTTTAAACCCATTCGTCTCTAAAGTTTGTGCAACACTTTGGAGCGTTGTAAAAAGAATCATTTCAAAGCAGGAAGTTAGCGCATAGCTAAGTTGTTTTCATAGTCGGAAAAAAAAATACATGGTTTTTGTTCAAAATATAAGATTTATATTATTAATGTTTTTGCCTCAAAATTAAAAAAATGGAATAATTTATTTCCAGATGTTATAGTTGTAAATAATAATGAGATATACGAGATACTAGAGTTGGAACGAAAAGCGATACAATTAGCTATCTGTTTTAATATTTTGAGTGCTAGCTTGGCATTTTTACCCCAAAACTTGCATATTTTCTAGTGTACTTTTTTCACATGTTAACTTTCTGGTGCCAACTTATGAACTTTTTCAAAAAACAGCAACGCATGCGTTATGGTAATTTCCAGCGACTTCCGCTAGCAATTTAACAGTGTCAGTTGCTTGTTTACATTGGAAGCAATTACTCATTATTTTTATGTGAGGTTCATTTGTTGTTCAAATACTTTTTTTAGTTGATAGTTTTGATTTTTTTAATATTTTGGTTTTTTTTTAAAAACTAAATCTTAATGAAAAGACATGAGTGTAAGATATACCAGGTAATCTTGTACCGAGCACAGGAACTTGACCGTAGAAAATTCAGTGTAGGGTATACCGGTCAAATGTATACAGAGGACAATGACTCAATTTATCTGAAAATCATCAGTGCAGAGTTCACGAAACAAATGTATTCCGGTAATGGAACTTAACCTTAAAAAGCATCAATGTAGGGTATATCTGGAAATAAACACTCATTTCTAGAATATTCCGATTGTTAGAAATAATAAACGATAATTAGTAATTATACCCGCATTCTATAAACTATTATTTTCTTAACTTTTTTGTAGTTATATACAAATTATGAACTCAAGATTTCAGAAATTATTCATCAATAGATAAGATGATGCAAAAAAATAATAAATTGAACTTTTGAAGCATAATTATAAATATTTTAAATTTAAACGTATGTAAAAATTCATAGTTAACGCAGTATTCTGTTTTTTAATTCTACGACTAATTTCTACAACGATATAGATTTATTAACATAACACATTATAGACATATAGAAGAAAAAACTTCTTATTTATTTACTCATTTTCAAAATGTATAGAAAACATGGAAAATGTTACAGAATCATGAAGAGAGAAAAAAAAATTATAAAAACAAAAAAATAAATAAATAAATAAAATTAAGAAAATTCAATAAAAAACCGAGAAAAAAAGAATCTCTTCATCATCTCACACGATTATATCCGCAAAAAGGAATGCTTTCTAATATTGTATCAATACAGATAAAGCAAAACATGAAACGAAATCTATAAAGCGAGTAGCCAATTCAAATGAATTTGTATGTACCGGTAAAATTTCAAAAATGATTTAAAATATTTTCGTAATAAGATCGCCAGATTACAAAATATGAAAACAGAAAAGCAACACGAGTCAAAATCGTAAAAAGTGGTTTTTGTTTTATAGCGCGTTCTTACTGATGTACTGAATCTCGTTTGCTTTGTTAGTTACCAAGGATTGGCCCGAAAATGGATGGATGTGCTCAAGGTAATATTATACTGGATAACTTAAAGAAGTTTATAATTATTAAGGTTGATATTTAATGATTACAATTTTAATGATTTTTGAAAACTAATATTTATTTCAGAAAAAAAAAGAGAAAAAAATCTGTGCAAAACAGCATGAATTGCTGTTTCTCTTCTTTCTTTATATTTATTTATTATGCTATATATATATATATATATATATATATATGATTGATATATATTATATATGTACATATTTCTGTATAAGTTTGAAGTAGATATTATTGCCATCAAGCCACTCTTTGAAACAAATATAAGTCACTTTTTTTGATGATCTAGCGTTTAAATGGAAGCTCTTTATACACTTCTCTATGGTTGCAAATAGCGATTCGCTTGTTCAAGTTCAGGTCATTGTGTTAGTGCAAAGTTCTAAACAGTTCTTTAACGAGTATATGAAATTAATAGTTCATACTTAAAACTCAGCCACTGCATCATTTTCACTAGAAACCACTGGAAATCAAAGTTTAGAAAAGAGAAACTTAAATTATGAAATCAAGATTTGAATCAACTTTGCAAAATTACCAAAAATGCAAAATTTTTTCCTTAATTAGAGCAATTGACAATAATTAAACAATTTTTAAAACAAATCAAGTTACAAATTGTGTCATTTAGATAAAAATAAAAACGTAGTTTTACGTAAAGGCCTGGTTTCTTAGGACAAGACGCCGTCAGCTGGAAATCAGCGCTAACCTCTGATTGGTCCATTTGTGAGTTTGATAGTATACGTCATCGAAC